TAAAAGCTATTTTTATACATACCTATTTACTATTTAAAGTTTTCACTGGAATAGTAAAGTAAATAGATTTAATTATGGTATACAATTCATCTGTTTCGAAAAAGCAAAAAGAAAGAAAAGCAACAACAACAACAACAAACAAACAAATTTTCATAAATAGTTAACATCACAAAGTGATACTAGTTAAACAACTATTGATTTTTAAGCTGAGTAGTGTAGTATTGTAACAGAGGTATTTAGTGGTTTATACGTACTATCCTACCAAGTAGGATAGTTGATAATGTTATATCCTATCCAGAAATATACATATATTTTTTTATTGTATAATTGCTAAGTAACTAAATTATTCATAATCGTGTCCCTCTTATTAAAAGCTTTATTTTGACCTATAAACTATTACTATACGACTTACCATTCTTGAGTTATGCCCTGTCTATCAATTACTGTCTCCCACACAGTCACTTTTTAGCTAGATCTTGTATAAATGTTCTTTTCTGTCTTATGGTACGATGTGGTCTGTTTGGTTTGTATATAAACCCAATATGTTTGAAATACGTGATTCATATCGCCTAACTAAGACTCGTGAACTGCAAACATGTGAAAATCAGGTTGGCTTCAGACCTGGTCGTGGCTGCATCGACCACATATTCACCATTCGTCAGGTTCTAGAACACAGGCATACTTATGGGCGTCCGAAAATAGTGGTCTTCCTTGATTTAAAAGCAGCGTTTGACTCTGTTGACAGAGAGGTTCTGTGGCAGTGTCTGTCATTGAAAGGCGTACCTCAGAAGTACATAAACCTTGTGAAGGCTCTTTACTCGAACACTACTAGTCGAGTGAGAGCTTATGGCGAACTGTCATTTGCTTTCGCAACCTCAAGTGGCGTCCGCCAAGGCTGTCCACTTTCTCCATTTTTGTTTAACTTCATCAAAGATCTACTGATGGAAATAACGCTCTCATCGACTGAATTCTCGGCTATTGATCTCCTACCAGGAGGTCCACTTATTGACTTAGAATACGCAGATGACATAGTCCTGTTTGGTGAAGTCGCTGATGAAATGCAGAGTCTTTTGGTAGCACTGAGCAACAATGTCAGAATGTTTGGGATGCGCTTCTCTCCCTCTAAATGCAAGTTGTTGCTTCAGGACTGGTCTGCGTCGACACCTGAACTAAGGATAGGGAGTGAAGTAGTCGAACGCGTCGACAACTTCACTTATCTTGGAAGTCTGATCAACCCTAATGAGTTGGTGTCTGACGAAATCTCAGTAGGGATTCGAAAAGCTCGTTTGGTCTTTGCCAACTTACGTCATCTATGGCGAAGGCGAGATATCCATCTTCCAATTAAGGGGCGAGTATACCGCGCGGCAGTTCGTTCCGTTCTACTATACGGCTGTGAAACATGGCCTTTAAGAGTGGAAGATATTCGTAAGTTAGTAGTATTTGACCACAGATGCCTTAGAAATATTGCGGGTATGTGCTGGGATCACCGGGTAAGTAATAGTGAGGTTAGACGCAGGGTACTAGGGAATGATGGTAAATCAGTTGATGAGGTTATGAATCTTCATCGACTGAGATGGTTGGGCCACGTGTTACAAATGCCTGAACACCGATTACCACGACGCGCAATGCTAACCAGTGTTACGGATGATTGGAAGAAAGTTAGGGGTGGCCAAACCAAAACGTGGCATCAGTGCTTGAAGTCACTAACTTCTGGTCTGAGCCATGTTGGTAGATTCAGACTGCCTGGTTGGGGTCCGCGTGACTATCGTAACCAATGGTTGGAGACTCTTGGTGACATGGCTCAGAATCGATCACAATGGCGTCGGTGTATACACTCTCTGTCTTCCTTTAAACTAAGAGATTAAAATCACTTCAAATCTTTCTTTCTAGGACCTAATTCTTTCTTCCTGTACTATGTCCTTATATGCAATCTTTCTTCTATATATTACCACCACTGAATTAACTACTTCTATGAATCCTGTGTTCATCTTGTTGTGTTAATGCGGTATGTTAACTTGGACCGATGCATATACGTGCCTGGTCCTACGTTGCAGCTGACTGACTGATATATCGCGGAGGTTGAGATTGGTGTTCTGAACTAAATAGGCAGGGCTAGGCGGAAAGCTGTACCGATAAGGACACTAAACTGCTTTTACGAATTTTATGCGTTATTGGTCCGGTCGATAAGTCACTATTCTCTGATTGGTGGTATTACTACGCTATTTATTAATAGAGCAAGATATAACAATTGACGATGGGGATCACTAAACAGATTGCATATTGTGCACAATCATTCATTTAAACATCTGATTGACCATTGAGAAAAAGAATATGGATCACAGTAATAATATAGATAATTAATATCCGAATAGGTGTCACTATTGGTAGCAATTTTGATCATTATATATTAAGGATACTGGGGTTTTCTGTCTTTATTTACTGGTCAATCACAATTCTCTCTCTTTAACTTTGATACATCAACTAATTCTCTGTAATAAACTAATTTTCCAACCAATTGTAAAGAAATATTTCTCTTCAATTAATTCCTGATCAAGGCTCTACACTAATATGTAGATTTTGCAAACGAATAAGAAATCAATACCAAATAGATGACGGTATTGAGTTGATTCAACAAAATAATAGTTAGTTAAAGATAATGGAAAAGATTTTTTTATCTCAGGTAGTAAAAGTCTTCTACCTGAATTTTGTGCTTCTGATGATGTCTTGTTCAAATGAACAATGAAAGCTCGACGATCCTAGCTCATAGAACAAAATTCCATCGAAATAATCAGTTAATTATTAAAAGTAACTACGTAAGACTAGAATTAACAATTACAATTGGATATAGATATAAATAGAAGGTTAAACGTGGGTAAATACGTGACCACCCCGCCTATCCCTTCCATGGCCGGATATAACTGAACATATAGATATAATTGATTATTTTGTTATCTATATCATTATTAATGAATAATTAATTAAAATGAATATAATACAAATTAGATAGTAAGTTTATTCAACAGATTACGTAAGATTAGAGTTAAGAATTAAAGTTTATTTTAGAAAAAACATAATACTATCTGAGTAGAAGATCAGGGTAAAATTCAGAGGTTATATAAATAAATATCTTCTGTTTATATATTTATATCTCGTGAGGCGGGATCGTGAATGCGCACTATTGAGGAGTCCCACAATAGGACGAAACGGCCGTACCGTTTTTCCAGGTTTTCTATTGTGGTCTAGCTTCAATTGACTCATGATCTCAACCTTTAAAATTACCATAATATCCACAAAAAATCTTTATGATATATATCCTTATGGCTTCTATGATGTGTAAGAGTCGGACTATCGAATCATAGACTACGTTCAGTGGGATTCTATCGATAACCTGAAAAACTGTATTTTTATCGAACTAATGACCAGTATCAAGTAAATGCGCCAAAGTAGGGTTATTTTTATTACTTTCTTTCGTTCCTTGGTTAACAGTGAGGGGTGATGTTCAGAAATACGATAATGTGTGTGTGTGTGTCATCACTGCAATTTACTAGATATCGTATTATCTTGTGTTTTTTGTTTTTGTTTTTACTTACAATCCAAGTATCGTACATAATGAATGGTAGAAATACTTTGGCATACTTCTCAAAATGTTTAAAATGATAATAAATATTTATTTGTTGCAACCATAGAATAAAACGTTTCAAATATCTAATTCTGTCTCTATAGTCAGATAGAGACTATTCTTAAATCCAAACCCTAAACTTTTAATCTTAACTATAAATACATAACTCTAACTAGGTACAATATGGTGACCTAAAATTCTGCTTGAGTCCTTTTACAGGTTGGAGAAGGTGGATAATCTACATCCATTAGAACAAGTTGATATATTCAGAGAGGAGTTTTGTGGATATTATAGTAATTTGATAGTTGAATTCATGAGTCAATTGAAGCTATACCAGCATGGAAAACCTGGAAGCACTGGATGGGCGTTTCGTCCTATTGTGGAACTCCCCAGTAGTGTGCATCAACGATCCCGCTCATGAGATTCGAACCCAGGCCATATCAGTCTCGCGCGCGACAGCCCAACCTCTAGACCACTGACAGGGCATCCAACGGTGTTAATATCTAACTTCAACCAACCGACAAAATTGCGCAACCATCCATCATTGTCATTAGTGAGTTACTATCTCACAACTGACCCGGTTGAACTCCACTGGCTACGGCTTCTCACCAGAACTCCAGAAAATACATCTTGGAGACCGTCACCAATGAGTTCACTCAGTGGTCTAGAGGTTAAGCGCTCACATGAGAGACATAGGTCCTGGGTTTGAATTTTCTCGAGGCACGATTGTGGATGTATACTGCTGAAAAGTTCAGTGCTTCCAGGTTTTTCATGGTGTTCTAGCTTCCATTAACTCATGAAGTGAACTATTAAGTTAATATCTCACTATCTTTTCGATTTAAAGACAGAATAACCTTTAAAAGTTATTAGTAAATTTATTAATTATGTAAAGTCTCTTTACATTTTACGGTAATACTGTTTTTTCTTTCACTAATTATTCATTTATATACATTGTTTTTTTTTGTTGATTGGCTAGAAATTCATCAGGGTTATTTTAATCCCGTCCCTATTGATACTACTACTGATATAGGTGGAACGAGAATGAAATGTGAATGAAATTCAAAGACTTTTTTTTATCATCCTAATCATTAAGTCACATTTAACCCTGTAATTTTTAATGCTAAATTTTCTCTTCCGAAACGCTCGGGAATATTTTAGATAGTGAATTCATTGTATTCTCAAATACGTCTTTGATGGGTGGTGTTATTATTATTATTTTATTATTTTAACACATAGATATTGGTCCACTTACTTACTTTCGCCTGTTGCTCCTCGTGAAGGAGGGATCCGGTTATAGCGCTGGACATTCGCTTTTCGTCCTCTCATTTTCGTAAACAACACATTTATCGATTTACCTGTATTTCTTTTTTTTCCTCAATAGGGACGTACACCCTTACATATCGCTGTTGTACATTCACAGCGTGTTGTCATTCGTGCATTAGTTGATGATTTCAGTAAGTAGAATTTTTTTCTTTCTCAAATTCAATAAGGTAAATAAATTATTATTTACGGAAATAACTACAAAATACATGTGATTTTATTACCTAGTTACTTATACCTGTTACCCCTAGCGGAGCATAAACCCCCAACCAGCCATCTCCAAACCATGGAAAACCTGGAAGCAATGGACGGCCGTTTTGTTCTAGTATGGAACTCTTCAAACATATTACTGAAATTATTTAAAAATAGTTTTTCAATTGTTTGTAAATAAATCATCATGCGAAAAAAAAACAAGATGCAAGTGATATCTACATTTTCAGATAAACTGTCAGATTTATTGAGTAGTACAGAACTACTGTTAAGTTTTGATCACTCTTCATTAATAGTTTTAAGCTTACGCTTTTTCTCAACTTAATTAAGAACAATTGTGCAGTTTCAGTGAAATCATTTGATGTTTCTTCAATATTCAATAGAATCTTATTTATTTATTTATTTATTTGAACACATAAATATTGGTACAAATGAACACCGAATACAGAAGCGCGACACAAGTCACTTGGTTTCTGTGTGTGTGGGGATCTGTGATATTGCCTGGGTGCCCAGATCGAAGCCGGTGCTTTTCTTAAGGGGCCACATCCCGAGCCTTCGACCTAAAGGTTTGATTCACAAGACAGTGGAGCAACGTTATAAGATGCATTTTCGTGGTAGACGGCGACTAGTAATTGGTTCATACGCCATTTTTTCCTTCAGGTTCCTAGAGCCCGTGTGCACTGTTGGTTTGGAATCAGGGTTTTCCAACTCCTCTAGGTGGATCCTTCATATTCACTAATGGAAACTGGAGACAAACTACTAATTTGATCAGATATGTTCAATAAATTTATGATATTATTGCTCAAATAGAAGTAGTTATCTCAATCTGAACAGGTAGTCTTCAATCTACATTTTTGTATTCTCCTATATTGACTAACTTTTAACAAGAGTAGTTTGTTAGAAGAGTGAATAGTAATTGTAAAACTAAATCTGATTGTAATCCGTTGTTGTCAATTAATGACGTTGTATTTCAAATATTGTACTGTTTAAATCTATGCAATATTATATTTTTCTTTTTTTTTAGAAGCTGATCCAACTTTGATGGATTTCTCTGGTTACTTTCCATATATGCTACTTGAAAATAATTTAAAAACGGAATATGAACGTACGTCTGTTTGTTACTTGTGCTTAGATTTTAAGTAATAATAGTAATTATAATAATAGTTATTATTATTATTATATTACTCTGGATTAATTACTTACTTAAGGCTGTTTCCCCTTGTGAAGGAGCCACCCACCATCATTCTCCATCGAGCTCTGTTCTAGGGAATCCTTTCCAGTTGTTATTCATTACTTTGGTGTATGCTTCCAATTCCCGACGCTCTGTGCTCTTTGGTGTTCCTCTTTTCCAAGTCATAGCTTGCATCGTGATGCAGTTTGATGATTTGTATAATCTATGTCCTATCCATGATCTTTTCCTAATTTCCTATTCAGCTGTAAGCTGGTTTGTTCTCTCGCAAAGTAAGCTGTTGCTGATGGTATCCGGTCAACGGTCATTGTGTATCCTGTGTACAAAATTGTTTATAAATACTTGTAATTTTTTGATATCCGTGGGCTAAGGTGAGGTGTGTATTTCTAGGGTCGAGCTTTTCTAACCCCACTCTTCCTTTTGGGAAGGTAGCATCGCTGTTATGCTGGTTATGTGGAGGAAACACCTTACTGCCGTCACACCTGTGTACAGTTAGCAGTAGGACTTCGCCCTCGAACCTTGGGTTTGCTGCTTATATTGTTACCGTTCTTCAACCGACCTGTGTGGCATGGTAGGACCTTGAGGAGCGATTGTCCTAGCCAGTATAGCTCGATTGGTCCATCGCGATAGGCAAGCCCGACCACCACATCAAGGTAGCAACAATGGTCGAGTCTAAACAATCCACTTGCTTATATAATCTTATTTTTCTGTTTGATCAGTAAAATTTCAAATACTAAATTTTTACTATGGTTAATTACATTTATAGTGAACATTAGTGATGATGATGCATATTAAGTGGTACCAAGCTAGTTATTTAACATCTGACATAATTATTAGGGTGAAACAAATCATGACATCCTTCCCTGTATTTCTTCATTCAATGGTTTTAATACTCGTAATTACCATCGTTGTTGAATACTTTAATTGATCTGGCTTGAAATTAATCGTATTTATAAGTATGCAATGTCTTTATTGTTACAACGGAATGATTATTGAATGAAGTTAGAGGTTTTGGAACTATTTTTCAAGTCATTATTTGTTTGTAAGTATAGGGTTGTGGAGATTGTTGAGTTTCATTGAAATCACTAACTGACCAATGTTGGATCGTCATTGAGAACGTGGAATCACTGGAGGTCAGTTTCGTTCTAGTACGTGACTCTTCAGCAGTGAATAGATTGTCCTCTCCAGGTGCTAGAATAGCTTATATGGGTTTGATATAGTACCAGCCCTTACAACACAAATAGATATATCAACATAGATCTTAGATCAAAACTTGTGATAAAAGTCGATGAAGATGTGTATGAATAATACGTTTAAATATGTAAGTTATGAGTTAGAGATAATTAATAAATGAAAGAAAGACAAAATATGTGAACAATCGATTATTTAATCTGTTAAGCCTTATCAGATGAAGCAAAAGACAGTGGTGTTGTTAACTTATTTCGAATGTTCTTAAGATAATGAACATTTATAGGGTTGTTCACTCGATTCATTTAATCAAGGGTGACTAAATATGAGTTTTATTAACTAATTCCAGACCATATAGAAAGGTGCCCACTCATTTAATCGTTTAATACTGGGCATTTCCCGGTACTAATGCTTCTGTCAATGATATATATGTTCCTATTCACCAATCATAGAAATTTTCTATAGCAACTAAATAATTCTCCAACTAACATTATGTAGTAATTTTTAGTGCAGGATACGAGTTTCATCCTATTTGCGACTAGTTAGTCAAATGTATCATCATCCTAATTTGGGACTTAAATCCAATAGCTTTAACTTCAAATACCCCAAGATTTTATTCACTAAGCTAATAAATCTAGTTAGCTTATTAACCAGTTCAGTAGATATGCATGTCAACACTGATAAATTACATAATTACGCTAATAATTATTTGTCCATTTCTTTTCTGGGTCATTATCTTTCACAACAATAATGATATTTATTCTGTAAATTAATCAAATTCAATAAAGATATGTATGTATATTATTCTCGAGTACATGTTGGTCCTTTATTAATTAGACTATTATTATTATTATTATTATTATTATTATTATTATTATTATTATTATTATTAGTAGTAGTAGTAGTAGTAGTAGTAGTAGTAGTAGTATCAGTAGTATCAACAATATTAGTAGTCTTCTTAATTTTAATTAAATTATTATTTACCCCCACATTAATTTCTATATAATTCATTCATTTCTGATTATTTATTGTTCAACTGAGTTCTTCCATCAGTTCATTCATGACGCACACACACACACACGCAGACACATACACACATTCATACGGATACATGTCGATATTTGTGTTAAAACAATTAAAATTGTAATTAATTCTCCGATAGATACTCTATCTCTTGATATAAAATATCTGTGAATTATTGAGTTGGAAAAAAACATTATTATTATTATTATTATTATTATTATTATTATTATTATTGAAACCAGGTAATGTTAATAACTGTGATGTAGACTCAGAGCTAATGGCTATATATGTATATGTATATGTATAATATACATACCTTGATCGTCTCATTCTGTGTATGTATGGATAGATTGTCGATTTGATTATTCAATTCCATATAATCAATCATTCCGAATGTTGTTGATGTTGTTGTTGTTGTCGTCGTCGTCATCGTCCTTTTATTAATATGATTTTTAACTTATCCACTTATATTCACCAGATAATGAATGTATATAATTTCAATGTGTAGGTGTGTAGTGTGTATGTGTGCGCGTGCATGTAATTTGTCGTTTCACTGGAATTTGTTTACGTTTGTTTAATTGAAAATTTAATGGAAAATTTTGTTTGTTTTTCTTTATATTCAGGAAAGTATATTCAGTGATTCTATTTTTTTAATCCATGATTATTTCTCTGAAAAAAAGATCAATACTACTTACTAATCTGTATGAATGTATGTACTCTTGTGAGTTCATACTCCATCTAACCTCAATATGACTTACTAATCTAGTAATCTGCTGTTAGATGAGGGAGGTTGATTATGAATACAGTAGTGTTGAGTGCTGTTAGAGGTATGAGGGCGGTTATCACTTCCCGGTTGCCCACACCGTGTAAGGGTTTTGCTGGAAGTGCCTGAAAAGGAAATTGGATTAGGGGCTAGTAATCTTCAACTAACAGCATTACTCAAATCAATAATCAATAGTTTAGTTGACTGATGTTGTATTTTGGTTTGTTCCACTCTAGTTTTTGTCCAACTTATTCCTACATTAACAAATGTTACCTGTTGACAAAGATATTGTTTATGTATGGGTAAAAAAAATATCCCAACCATATCAGTCGGTGTAGATCCCAAAAATACATCAATCGATTTGTTATTTTATCCAGTATTCTCCATCTAACCTCAGTACTAATTACTCAATCGTTCCAACATATATGAACAGAACTTCCAAGGCAACTATGATAGAACAACAGTGATCTACATATATTCTGTGTTTATTAAAAGCCTCGTTTCACAATCACAAACTGAAGAATTATGAATTACTGTGCATTATACGTGTTCTTTGGTCGGCTAACGAACGTCATCAATATTTATCCAGAGTTATCTTTCTAGTTTCCATAGATCACCGATAATTCCACATTTTTTCCCAATATAATCAATACAAGTAGCATAGATCAGTGGTGACACCTCAAACCTTGATTACAATCTTGTCTACCACTACTGGATTTGAATCGATAACTGAATCTCTATGCTAATGTGGTGTGGCAACTCGAACTGATGTACGTACATACGAAGTTCCACGTTGTTACTGACTTACTGACTGACAATCTTGTCAATTAAACTAAAACCGACAGTTACTTACTGTTCAGAAAAGATTCAAGCAATATTAGTGTTAAATAAGTTCAATACCACACCACAAATACGATCGATCATATCAGAGTAACTAGCAAGTGATTGTGAAGAGCTTGACTAAACCGATAACACATAAAATTTTCAGCTTAGTTTGGTGAAACAAATGCGTTCAACGCATTAAATTAATCACTGTGTGACTTTCATTACATGGTTACAGAAAAGTTGAAACTACTCGAAAAGGCGTGTAGTTTGTAGACCAGTTAGTTGAGCATATTAAACGTTTATGAATGACTCACCGAGTCTACGAAATCATCTCTGTTCATGAACATCAGTTAAATATGCACATAAATACTATTAGGGTAATGGTTAAGTGAGTAGAACATTGAAATTCCAATTAGTCCTTCTCAAATTCAAGGCAAGTCACACCTACTTCGACTAGAACAATCGATCAGTATCACCAACCGAATACCAAGTACACGAATGTGTATAATCGGTTACTGGGTCGTATTAGTAGTAGTTGCATTATATAAGAATGAATCAATCACTTCCAATTGTTGTTTATTCATTTAGGCATAATGTGAGTATTTTTGATGGATTGGTTCGAAATGTTCCATCATCACGCATCGTTTCCAAGCAATCGGCTTTAAATGGTTTCGTTTTAATGTTAACACATTCATCTTTATCTGGCCTTTATCACTGTTTCTTTGTTGACTGTGAGGATGCAATTGATTAGGAAGTGAACAGAGCTAGTAATCGTGCACTCATACACAGATATACTGAATATACACACAGCATTACTGATACAATTTCTCAAGTGGAATAACAAATCTTCTTCTGTCTGAAGTTTGTTTTGACTGAGTAAATAAACGGAAGTGTATGGATGTGTGTGTGTGTGTACGTGTGTTGTGATGATTGCATCAATGCTCAAAGCCAATGTCATAAATGGAAACTTTTGTTATATAGGTAGATTGACATATGTTTTGCACAGGACAGTTGTGACATTCTCTTGTTGTATCTACTCTACTTACTTGTTCTTGCTTCCTATACGACAGTCTCTCTCACCACTTCCTCTATTCGTGGTGTATCGTTGATCTCGAGTAATGTACTCTGTTTATTTCTACACTTCATCACATGCTCACAAATGTTTTCCAGTGATGAAATAGTGTATTGACAGTTGTTGAGTGAAAACATGAGGAAACGAACACTCCTTTTTTCTTCTTTATCGCATTTGTTAATAATAATTACCACACTCCTTACTGTTCTACAAGCGATTTGCATCATTGTTTATCCTTATTAACTTGGCTAAAGCTGAATGTTGCTAGTTAGACTTTTGAATTATTGGTGAGTATAGTGAATGTTAACATTCAATATTACAATGTTAATTTTTACCTAAGTGATTAACAAATTCCTACTGATTTGGTCATTTGTTTTTAAATTACTCTTGAATTTTAAAGCTTCTGATAATCAAATAATTACGCAAGTTAGAATAATGAAATAGAACTTTATTGTTCTGTTTGAAGATTCGCTGACTGAACTCGTCGCTTATCTTAACGGTTCTACATCACTGTTCTGTTTTGCTTTTTTAATCTTCTTTTAGTTGCACTGATTATGTAAGATTTTGGTGATTCTATGCAACTATGCTAATCCAAGTAGTTGAGGGAACTGTTGAAAATTGATACTACTAATCTAACCAATACTTTAACTTGCCCAGTATATTCCTTTCTGCAGGTTAACCGATACTTATATTTTTATAGTTAGAGTCCACTTATCGTATCACATACTAAAGTCAACAATCAGAATTTTGATTATTGTTTTCCGTATACTGTATCTACTATTTCTTCTGTAACTTATTATCCTAGACCTGACGAATTATACATCTGTGCTTCTCAGTTAGCCTGAAACTAATACAACCTAGACTCCTATTGATTTACTATCCACATGTTTCTCTCTATCCTCTATTTCAATCCCAATGAAAATTAATCAGCCTTTCTCTTTTACTCTGAATTCAATCAAATGTCAAAGCTAATACAATGATATAGCGTTAAATCTTGACCATACATCAACATAATCCTGAAATTACAGTAATAGCATTACGACGCCACATATAGAAACGAACTGAGTGTTCAGACTATAATTTAAGAACGACCTTTGAGTGACGCTAAAGTAACCTTGAAAGTGTCCACTTAATAACTAATACCAAATGAGAATTATAAACCAGCGTAAGGAATTAAAATTATGATTTACAGTTGATGGGTAAGGTTAGAACTTAGATTTAGGGTTTTGATCACGAACTGACATCAGCTATAATACCAAAACTCTATTTAACCAAATGAATGAGTGAATTTTGTGCTAAAATTCGAAACCTGTTGTTATCTTATACCTAATTGGTTGTTGCATAATAGTTGTTGTTGTAATAGTTCCGTATTATGCTCACAACAATTTAATCATTAACAAATAGCTTACAAATAGGAAAATATAATATTATCAATATTTATAGCAATCAAAGAATAAGAGTGTGAATACTAAACTTCACTTGGGATAGTTTCGAAAGTTCAACTTTAATAATACTCATTCTAGTATAATCTGTCATGTTTTCTTTTCTAGCTTTTTTAACACATGGTCGACTTCAACGAATTCGTACTGCATGTGAGTTTTTTAATCAATTTTTGTTGTTGTTGTTGTTGTTGTTGTTGTTAAATATCATATTTCACTTGTACTTGTATTAATAGTTTTATGATGATTGATTTGTGCTACTTATTCACTATCTATATAATGTCAAAATATTACTAACGGGAACAATATTTCGAGTAGTATGGTGTTGTGTTACTTAGTTGATTTATCAGTAGTTCATGATTCGATCTTCATTGGTTGATTAGAATCGACTGGAAACCCATTTCTTCACAAAACTATTTCATTTTGTTATGAATTCAGTTTATTTATGTATATACTAATTAGTGTTTGTCTATAGTGCCTGCTTATTACTTATTCGTCATATTGGTGATCAGACCAATGACTCTTTCTGTAACCGTTAACACAAGTTATTGTAAACAGTTGCTGAAAACTATAGCTCTTCCTATACCCAATAATCTATCAGAACACGAAAACAACAGACAGATATACTTTCTGTTATTGTATTGTCATTCTGACTTAAAAACTCAAAGATTTATATACATTAATTGCAAAACTAGCATGGAACATAGGAAATCACAATTTGCATATAACTAAGTCATATGTGATATGTACACAAATAATCGACGGAAATTTAAGAACAGTATGGGTTTTGAATTTCACTAAAATTGCGGATCAATCTAAGTAAGAAAACCACTGAAGACTTGGAAACATGTGACGGCCGTTTCGCCCTAGTTCGCGACTCCTCAGCGGCACTCAATCTTGACCTCACGCACGGAAATCGGACCTATGGCCCTCGGTCTCATTTACAAGCGCCACAACTGAGCCGAGATCCACTGGTGTACACGTTTAATTTCAATCACTTCATGATATTACGTGACTATCTTGCGGTGTCGTGGTCGTGAAATACTAAGGTGTCCAACACTATTACGAAACGGCCGCTCAGTGCTTCCAGGTTGTCACTAGTTATCGAACTTGGATCGATTCGTGGTTTTCATTAAAAAAATATATCAATATTTAATCAGTGAAATAAAGGCTTACAACATGAAAATGCACTGAACCAAATATGTAACTATTAGACAATTGAAAAATGTACAATAATCTAGAAGTTGTGTCTCAGTTATTCACCTCGATAGAGCACGTTTTAGTTAACAATTGTCAATGAGACGTATGTAAAATCTTGAATGGACTGATGCTCTCCCTAATCAATGTGTACTCACACCACACAATATCACTCTGTCATAGTTATTACCATTGAAAAGTATGTATTCCAGGTGCAACGGATCTTCTGCGAAACTAAGATTTACACACTAAAGGATTGTGGTTTATTAATTATGGTGGTCTCATTTACTTCATTTTCTCTTCTTACTCACACTTTCCCTCTCTATGCCTCATTTTTTGTGGCTCATTGAACTGACTTTCATTCGATGAACGTATGATGAATATGCATCTAATTCCGTATAATAAATATGTTAAACTCGTTTGTGTGATGGCGGTAATAAGAAGCCAAATACGGGTTGTATTGGATGGATTTTTTCCAAGCCTTTGTTCATCCAGACAGACATTAAGGATGAAAAATCTGGAAAACCAAACAAAGCAGTGAGAAACAAACGAACCAACTCGTTTTGATAAAGCGTAACTCAATATTTATGGCCAGACCAATGTAATCTAAAGACATGTGATTAATTACTTAATTACGCCTGTTACTTTCAATGGAGGGTAGGCCATCGACCAGCATTCTCCGATCCACTCTGTCCTGGCCCCTTCTTTCTATCCGATTTTTGTTCATTCTTCTCATGTCTGTCTCCATTTCTCAATGTAATGTGTTCTATTATGTTCTTCTTCTCCCTCGACCTTGAGGATTCCATATGAGGGCTTGCCTTTTGACACAGTTCGGTGCTTTCCTCAATGTGTGTCCTATCCACTTTCAGTGCTTCTTCCTGATTTCTTATTCCACTAGAATCTGGTTTGTTCTCTCTCACAATAGGTTGTTGCTGATAGTATCTGGCCAACGAATCCTAAGTGTTTTGCGCAGACAACTGTTAATAAACACTTGTTTCTTCTTGATGATGGCTTACGTATTTCTGGAAATTTCTGCCCCATACAGTATATATATATATATATATATATATATACTTAAACAAAAACAATCACTTGATATTGTTTTACTTGAATCTTCCCATTGATGTTCAGCACTGCACTTGATCAGTCTCTTATTGGCATATGTGCATACTGTGCGTATTGCCTCGATATTGCCTTAATTTACAAGCATTATAAGCAAAGATGGATAGTGGCTAGCAGTGGAATCCAGTTTGACGCGCGTTTCGTCCTATTTGGGACTCGTCAGCTGGATGAACCTGCATCTGAGAGTTGATGTTCACTGCGGGACTCGAACCCAGTACCGTCCGCTTCAAACGCCATCGCCTTATCCACTTAGCTACTGAGTCCATCTTTGCTTATAATGCTTGTAAATTAAGGCAATATCGAGGCAATACGCACAGTATGCACATATGCCAATAAGAGACTGATCAATTGCAGTCCTAAACATCAATGGGAAGATTCAAGTAAAACAATATCAAGTGAATTAAACTTTACCCGATTGCACAAGCAAGTGGCTATCAGGACTCAGTAGCTAAGTGGATAACGCGATGGCGTTTGAAGCGGACGGTACTGGGTTCGAGTCCCAGAGTGAACATCAACAAATCTGAGATGCAGGTACATCCAGCTGACGAGTCCCAAACAGGACGAAACGCGCGTCCTGGATTCCACTGCTAGCCACTATCCATCTTTGCTTATAAAAACAATCAGGTTTTATAAAACGTATAATTGACAAGGTTAAAAAGGGACTCCATATGATTAAATAAATTGATCTGTCTGGAATCTGGAATAACCCATTTAGACTTGATATAGTATTACTAGACTTTACATTTTCATAAAAATACATTTTGTATTCATCTTTATCATTCATCTTATGATTATAAATAATAGTTGTAATATTTCAGAATATGAAACAAAAATGCAGGTGAAAGTACTACAATTTATAATGGAGATTTTGTTACTTCAACTTCCTTGTGTTTTTTTTTTTACATTTTATCAGTGTTTTCTTTCTCTCTTTTTTTTCATTGTTTCAATACATTGTGTGTGTGTGTGTGTATGTGTGTATGTATCTCGCCCCCCCCGTTTTGTTTCACTGAACGTCTTATCTCTACTATTTTTAGTTTATTAGAGTCAAATCGAAAGGATGTGATTTCAATTTTACGTTTCTGTTTTTTTCTTGTACAGAGATGTGTTTGTGTGTTTATTTCTCAGAGTGAAATCGAAGGTGTTGTTTAGAAAGAAAAACAAAAAAAAAAAGAAAGTTGAAGGGTTTTTAAGAGGAAAAGTAATGACAAACATAACTAGTAATGAGTACCGAAAGAATAATTGAAGGGGAACAAACAGGATATGGTTGTGTTTCTTTTTAAATGGAAAAATTATTCTATTATTGTCCTACTTGTCTGACTATAAACCTGTCATCTACTCAATTTACTACACTTAACATATCTCATATAATTTTCCACAAACAAAATATCAGAGTATAGGCAGTTAGAAGTAGTCGAGAGGAAATGTTTGATTTTGCTTTCGTGCTAGTTGATATGCTTTAAAAAGACAGACTTATGATCATAAGGAAATTGATGTTTCCTTTTTGATTCGAATACGCATCATCCAGTTTCAGAGATCAATAAGTTACCAATGAATTAATCGATTCTTGATTGACCTACTGTAGAATTTAGATATCTATGTTGATCGATCATTAAATAATTAACAATATTGTGTTTGAGATGGTGGAGGAGATTTGTTGCTCAGGTGGATGATTTTGAAATTCGAATAGTTCACTTCTACCTGAAGTTTGTGATGATGATATCGTTCAGAAGGACGATGAAAGCTCCAAATCATCCAGCTCAGAGTACAAAACTCCAAAATAATGTGTTTGTTTAGTGGTTAGTGATGACTGGATTTTTTTGATCAAGTTATAATATGGCCACTAATCCAGAGTGTAGAAGTAGGTTGAAAGAAAGCGATTGATATTAGTTCGTGAATTGATAGGCTATTTGTTTGAACTATTTAGAGAGAGCCAAACTACCTGGTTGATTTCATGAAAGCATCGTGACTAATCGTCGGAAGATTTTGCATGATATAGCTCTTAAGTAAGTTAGTATCTCCAACTACCACCTTAAATCCCAACACTGTAGCATACGATGTCGAATCACCTAGATTAGTGGTTACATTGCAACTTGATCGATAGAATTCGAATTACATTAAGAAGGACCTAGCATACATAACATTAGTCACTAGCCAGTGAACATCAACTCTGAAGTACATGTGCATTCAAATAACGAGTCACATAATAAAGCGAAACAGATATCCTGGATTTCACTCCTATCCGCCATCCATCTTTGCTTAAAAATTATACGTATTTTCAGATGAAGAATGAATGACACTCATCAGCATGGTGTACGTGTAATCTTGAGCAAACTGATGTTTTTGACCGAATCGATACTGTGTCAGAGATGTCACTATCGAGCAATCCGGACTGTAATTAACTTCCCGTAGAACAGAGATTTATCTTTATAATTTTATCTGATTGTGTTTATGTAGTGTGTAAACCTGAATCAATACACTGACTGATTGATGAGAACAATAGATTACGATTAAAACCAACTGAAATTAATTTCAATCAGTACTTTGTGCAAACTAACTACAACAAAACACTATCTGCTTATTTCAATATTCTCAATCATCGTCTAGAAAGATTATGCAATATATTTAGTGATAACCTAATGGTTCAGTTTAAATATGGGCGGATAAATGGAAGTGAAACGATGATAGTTATTCTAGAGTGAGATTATTATGTAATTATACCAATTGCTAAGTATTGTATCACAAATGACCTAGTTTTGTACCGATTATAATTCCTTATTTATTGAACATTTTGGTCTTGTAACTGATGTGTATTATCGTATACATCTTTGAGTGTTCTGTGCTGTTGAGGTTGGTAAAGAGAAAAAATTTACGGGTGTCATTTAAAGTTTGTTTTTTTTTTAAAGTGAAAATATCAAGTTAAACAAATTATGTCAAGTTAACTTATCATGAGTGAAGTCAACAATTTGGTGATCTTAGTAAAGTTGATATAAACAAGTAGCTAAAACGATTGATTTTAAACAATCGAAAGAACTACACTCTGCTGGAGATATATTGATGACATATTTTTGTATGTATTCTATGTACCTACTCAATCTGTTTAACAAAGTACACAAGGATATAGATTGTACTGTGGAACGTGAAGTAGAATATAAATTCCATTTCTTAGATAATGGAATTAAATGTAATTCATATGACATATTACAAAAACACATATACCGCAAAAATACCCAGAGTGGAGTTTATCTCGACTACAATAGTTTCGGTTCAATAAGTTACAAAAAGGGAATTTTAAGTGCTCTTAAACTTTTCTAAAAATAAAACCCGGAACAATTTGTTTTTATTACAAATCGCCTACTTGAAAACATATATCCAGCGAAATTCATAGAGAAATGTGCCGAAACCAACCTACGGGTTAAATGTAATACAATGGATAAGAAAATCTGCTTCTTATATTTATGCTTCAAAGGAGATGAAAACACTGGAATAATTAACCACAGGATAAATGCCACTTTAAAAGTTCCTTATCCATCAACAAGACTGACTACGTTATGTGAAACGAAGTGCTCACTCAAACAAACAGAAATTTATAGATCATCTTTTCTTAGTACCTCCAACTGCATTATCCAATTTACATAAACGTGCAAAAGCACATACTTTAAAAGAAAAGAGAGAAGAGTATATGTTCACATTTCCAAACACGTTTTAAAGAACTTGAGACTGAGAGGCTCAACTATTCTAAACAGTGGAATAGCTTTCTATTTACTTGATATCGGGCATACTGTTGACATTCCATAAGCTTTCAAAATTATTTACAGACAAAAAAAAAACATAATGTCCCTTCGCTTCGCTGAATCAATAGCAATAAAAGAACACAAATCTGATTTATGTATCCAGAAAGAGATAATAATAAGCTTTACAACACATTGATATATTGTTTTTGTCAATATCATTATTTTATTAGTGTTTGTTTTGTTATACGATCTTCCCTTAACTATTTCTTATTTTATGTATACCAAAATCATCTGTTGACTTATACTCTTTCATCTACTTGATTTTCTTAACTTATATAAACTCTTCAAATGCGGTTCACTTATTACGTAATCTATCTTATCCATCTTCGAAACTTATGTAATTAATGCATCATCTACCTATCTATGAATTTTATCACCATATCACCTTTAACCTATCTTGGCATGCATATATATATAGTTATTATTTGATAAAGTTTATCATTCTAATTCTTTTCATTCATCTATGTCAATTCTTTTACATTATATCATACCACAATGTTAACTTTCAATATATATATGGTGGTAATCAGCTGATAAGAAACAACGAATTCTAATGAATCCAGATAGAATATTCAAAAAACAAAAAATATCTATGCGAAAAATTGTTTTCAGTAACTTTGTCATCAGGCTCTATAGTTACAAGACCATCATTATTGTGATAACGTTGCATGAACATAATATGTAACTATTATTAAGGTAATTACTATAAGAAAGAATTCATGTGAATTAGGAAAGAGGAATGTAAAGATTAAAGAAAATATAAACAATAACAAAAGAATTGGTCGGTGGATAAGAGGTTTTTAATAATCAGTCTAGGTATCTAGGGATTCAGACATGGACCAAGGTCGTATTTATATTATTCTATATCAATATTTGTTGTGGTTTTATTATCAGAGAAGGATTTTTGTGGATATTATAGTAATTTTAGTAGTTGAATTCATGAATCAATTAAATCTAAACCACAATGAAAAACCTGGATGGCGGTTTTGTCCTATTGCGGGACTCCTCATCAGTGCACATCCACAATTCCGCCTCACGAGATTTGAACTCAAGGCCTATTAGTCTCACGTGTACGCGCTTAACCACTAGACCATTGAGCCGCCCGGCATCTAACGGTGTTAATGTCTAACTTCATATGCTCAGTATTGAAGGTTCTGGTGAGAAACTGTCGCCAGTGGAGTTCAACCGAGTCTGTTGTGAGATAGTAACTCACTGATGGCAATAGTGGATTAGTTGAAGTTAGACATTAACACCATTGGATGCCGGCTCAGTGTTTTGGTTTTTTTCAAATTGATTTTAAGCTAGTGAGTTTTAAACTTAAATCCTTTTTTAAATAATTTGATTAATGAATTAGTCGTGGGGGATTTTAATCAGCTCTAATACAGTGTTTAGTTAAAAGCCCAGTGTGTGAACATTTATCTACCATTACCAGGTTTGACTATTGAAAATGGATACTTCTCAATAGTACATTTTAGTTGTAATAGTTTGGCGATTCTATATTGGTACAAATGATCGAATCGAGTAATAGTTGCTGAAGCTAGGCATCATATTCTGAAGTAGATAGGTTAACTAGACATTATTTCGGTCTGTCAACTTTTTTCCAGTATTGTGGATCTTTTCCAAATAGTGGAAGTTTGTTTGTGTTTTCCTATGAAAATTGACAATGGATATTATTGTTCATCTTGTGTTTTTTTTTCAGTGAAAGTTTTTAAAGCATCAAATGTTTCCAATGATTCTTCTAGTATCACTAAAGATAGTTCCAGTAAGAAAGGTGTTGTACATACTGATCATTCAATGGTTGACTTCAAACGACCTGTTATGCTTCCAGTTGTGTCTAGACGATTAGAGAATTTCAAACGACCGACAGTACAACAACAACAGCAACAACAAAATCATTTAAATCGAACATCTACCTTGAAACCGATTAATCAAAATGCTGAGCATAGTTTACGACGTCCATCTGTATTTGAAGGTATTTTAAAATCGGCTGCTGAAGCTGCTCAACACTGGAATAATCATCATAATAATAATTGTAATAATGATCATACATCAAGTGTTAAATTGTCATCAGAATCCAATGAAGAACAAGTTAATAATGGTAATGTTAACATCAGTAAACCTCTTAACGCTTGTTCTTCTTCTTCTTCTACAACGACGACGACGACGACAGAATCAACAACAACAACAATAACTGACCCTCATACACGCTTAGTACAACGTTTAGATTCGATGATTTTATTAAGACGTGAACAGAATGCATTATCCAATCTTTCAAATAGTAATTATTCTAATGAAATAGGATCATCATTTGATTTGTCTACTTCATCAGATAATAATGATTATCTTTCCACTATTAATTATCGAAAAGCAAACACATTGGATCGTCGATTTCATCCTCCTATGGGGAGTCATGTAAGTGTCTTATTTTTTTTCTCTATCATTTCATATAGTTATAAATTCATTTTTAGAGAGGAAGGGTATCATTTATATTGATTGAATTATAGGTATCAAAAGATAACATTGTATATGCCTATACTTCAGTGCTTAAATTCTCAGATGTAAATCTATCATTGAGAGAGTAGTAGTCGGTGGGTACCTGGTTTGTTGTTTAGATTTTCAATTCTAATGAATAAACAATCCAACTATCTGAGTAGATAGATCCAAAGAAATAATAAGGCACAATAATCATATAGCTACACTATTTTTAACAATAAAATTAAGCAATACATTTTATAGTTATAATTAACTGTAATTTATGAACGGTAGAAGATTTCAACTAGAGCTAATGAGTTGAAAGAGATAGAGAGCTTACAATTATTACTATATAAACTGTTTGTTTAATGAATAAAGCGTCTGTTAGTTATTGTTAAGCAACGTAGAATTCGGTTCATATTTGTATATCAGTTCAAGTTCCCACACCGCATCAGCAAAGCGAGATAAACTTACCAGGACAGTTACCAGAGTTCTAGGAGTAGTAGTAATAGAGAACAATAGGTATAAACAATATTTTTTTCAAGAAGAAATGAATTTCAAAAATCGATATCTAAGGTAAGACAGATCAAATGTATGTGCTGTGTTGATCGATTCCAAGTCGTATAAACCAACGTCTTTAACCAATGGTTAAAATAATTGCTTGGTTGTCAATCAAATAGTCTGGATCTATCATCTTCATGATTCAGACTAATAGTTTATATCTTCGTGGATGTCACATTTTTTTATTTGGCTGCTCCTAACTTTTTTTGAAAACCTACTCCTTCAATGTGGAAATGCACAAATGGATTCAACGTAAAATAGTTTTCTAGATTTTATATTTGTCACCAATTGGTTCTAATACAATTGAATGTTAGACAATAAAAATCTCATGAGATTAAATCATCTGTGTCGAAAATTATATTTCATTGTACACATGAGATTATAATAATCAGTGACTTGGTTTATGTATATGTCTCAGCGTAACATATTCTCGTTTAGTTAGTATAGTGTACGAAAATAAGCATCTTATCCCATTTCTATTGATTTTATTTATTTGAACACATAAATATTGGTACGAAGAACCACTGAATACATATGCACCACACAAGTCACTTGATTTGTGTGCATGGGCTGTGATACTGCCCGGGTGGCCAGACCGAAGCAGGTTGTTTTATTAATGGGCCACACCCGGAGCCTTCGATCTAAAGGCTTGATCCACAAGGCACTGGAGCAACGTAAGGAGATACAGTTTCATGATAGCCGGTGACCAATAATTATTATTATTTATTTATTTATTTTAACACATAAGTATAGGTACAGGGAGGCACCAAATACATATGCGCCACACGAATCTCAATTGATTTGTGTGAGGGCTGTGATACTGCTCGGGTGCCCAAACCGAAGCAGGTGGTTTTCTTAGGGGGCCACACGCCGAGCCTTCGACCTGAAGATCTGATCCACAAGGCAGTGGAGCATCGTGAGGAGATGCAGTCCCATGGTAGCCGGTGACCAACGATTGGTTCATACGCCATTTGTTCCTTTAGGATACTGGAGCTAGCCCATGTGCACCATTGGTTTGGGATCCGGTTAAAGCGCCAGACATTCGCTTTTCGTCCTCTCATTTTTGTAAACAACACCCCCGCCACGAGAAGGCAGTGAGTAGAACTTCCCTGGCAGAGGCTATATACGCATGGCCATGTGAGAGCATTTGGAGAGGGAGAGCGGACTCTCCCCACTCTCAGCCGTACCAGGGCATTTGGGGGCTACCAATAATTGGTTAACACTCCATTTGTTCCTTCAGGATCCTGGAGCCTGTGTACACTATTGGTTTTGAATCAAGTTTTTCCAACTCCCCTACGTAGATCCTCCATATCCACTAACCCGGTTAAAACGTCGGATATTCGCTTTTCGTCTTCTCAATTTCGTAGTCAGAACCTCCGCCGCGAGAAGACAATGAGTAGGACTTCCCTGACACTGGCTACAAACGCGTTGGTATGTCAAAGCATTTCAAGAGATGGAGCGAACGCTCCCTCCACCCACATCAAGATAAAATTGTTAGAGCATATCTCATAGTGGAAATAGGAAAGATTAAGAATCGAATATATAATTTAAGAAAATATGAATTACTCTAATAAAAAATTATAAGGGATTCAACATCTTTGGACTCGAGATACGACAAAAATGAATCCATATATGTCACTGCAAACGATCTTGAACCGTGTCATTCAGAGTCCCTAACCATTGGTTACTCTATAATCACTCAAACCCCAACTACGTGGTTTTCACTTGATAACATGGTTAAATCCAATCGGTAATAACTTTATTGACGTATGCCATATTTTGGTTTGGTCACTCTTAGCTTTCTTCCAACTTAGTTCTACACCGGAACAGATCGCCCGTTAATGTAGGCAGTGGTTGATGTTGTGTAACAAATGTCTCAAACACCTCAATCGATGGAGATTTACTACCTCATCAATTGATTTTCCTTTTTTTTACCTAGTACTTTATTCCTAACAGAGGTATTGCTTACTTCGTGGCCCTAAACTGCACAAGCAATGCTTTGTAGATACCTATGATCTAGTAATAATAACCTAATGAATATCCTTTATTCTTAATGATCATATTTCACACCTAGGACTGAACAAACAATCATTAATTACTCAGTTTAATATCAATATTAACATAATTTATGGGATTAAATGTAGAATAACTTTCAGCTTCTATAAATCTAATTAACTTTAGAATGAATAAATGTAATTGACTTTTTGTAGGATTGAGATGGATTTTTTCAATTGGATTAATTATAAATTGATGGTTCAATGTCGTGTTTGTTTAATGTCTTTTGGCGATTAACTGAATTCTATTGATCGAATTATAGTGTGTCTATTAGTAGGTTAAATGACACAACATCCCTTGCATCATATTAAGTATTTAGCATGTCTTTAGGAACCTATCGTTCGTTCTAGTTACCATGTTTCAGTAATTAACATGAAAATGTAAGCAACAAGGATTTTGATTTATTGGTTTCGAATTTATATATACTTATATATGCCTCGGTTTGATTTGATACGAACAAGTGAATTAGTGAGAAAATAGAATAAAGGAATAAAAAGTCAGTTATAAGATGGTGTTTGGCGATAGTCAACAGAAAACCCTGGATCCGGGTTTCGTGCTAATTGGCACTCGTCAGCAAGATGTACCTGTAATCTTGAGGAAACTGGTGCTCCCTGACGGATTCACAGTCAGAGACGTTACCACTGAGCTATCCGGTCCGCGATCGACCGCCTGTAGGACTGAGGATGTATTTGTAACTGATTGATCACTGAGTCGTGATCAATGTCATGTGTGTCAAGTTCCTCTTAGTGCAGATTGAATACTATCGACTTGACACACATGATATTGATCACCATCAAGTGATCAATCAATTATGAAAATGTCAGTTATGCTAAAACTTTCAGCAATAATAATACTAATAATCAAAACTAGTTTGAAGCTTCAACAATTTATGATTGAAGCAAAGAATACATTACAAGTTTTCAGTTGGTGAAGTGTTGTTATTGTAATCAGTATTTAAAATGTTCTACTGTAAAAATCAAGTGTACACACAACTGTTTATGATGTTTTACGAGAGAGAGAGAGAAAGAGAAAGAGAAATAGACATTTTCAATTTTGTAAAATATGTAGCCAGAGGTAATAGTATTTGATTGTATGTAATAAATGGGAGGGGGAATGGAAATGATGATCTATTATTATTAAATGTATAAATTAAAGTTATATATGGAGAAGTTAATAGTAGCTAACTTGAATTGTCATCTGTTCAATAAAAATATGCAGAGTAACTTTACTAAAGCTATTGGTAATATATACATGACAAACTATAAAAAAATATGGAATGTTGAAAGCTGTTTATTGAATTGACAGATTAAAACAAAATATTTTTTATTCACTGATTACTATAGTTAATACGGAAATGATTTTCAACCTTTCGTTTTGATAAAAGTTTATTTTCAGTATAGGGTTATGGAAATTATTAAGTTTTTGATTGAGATCTTGGAACGATCGATGTTAGACCACCATTGAAAATCTTGAGCTCTTGGTGGCCGTTTCGTCCTATTGTGGAACTCCTTAGCAGTGTGCATCCACGATCCTGCTCATGGGATTCGAACCCAGGGCCTTTAGTCGGTAGCGCAATTTCATAGGTTGTTTGAAGTTAGGCATTAATACCATTGGATGCCGAATCAGTGGTTTAGATGTGGTCTAACATCGACCGGTTTATGATCTAGAACAAAAACTTTATAATCTCCACAACCCTATACTGATAATTACCATGTGCTCAATAGTGACTAGCTTCGTGAGGGAATTTTCGGAGTTGTAGTGAAAAGCCGTGACCAGTGGTGCTAATCCGTGTCGGGTAGAGACAGATATTTACCTCAGTACAATGGAAGATGGTCACGCAATTTCGCGGACTAGTTGGGGTTATACATTAACACAGTTAGATGCCGTCTCAGTGGTCAGTGGTTAATCGTTTGCGCGAGAGACGGAAGGCCCTTGGTTCGAAACCCCCAATCGAGTTCGTGGATGCGCACTGCTGAGGTGTTCCACATTAGGACGTAACGGCCGTTCAGTTCTTCAAGTTTTTTAATGGTGGTCTAACATCAATTAGTCCAAGATCTTAATCAATAGCTTAATAATCTCCACAACCCTATACTGAAAAAAAATTAATGTAGAGTTAAAGCATATCTTCACCATAGTTGATGGAGTTGTTGAAACTTTACCGACTTGTTTACATCTCTTACTTTATGTTGCATACCCTGAAGCTTATTCAGAGGTGAACAAAAATATTTATGGTAAAAAATATAATTTATAGACAACTTTTGAGAGATGGTGAAGTGACCTTGAGGGTGTGGACCAGATTGCTAGGGTTAAATAAGAGTTATAAATTTGTGTGAGGAATTAAGATTAGAATTTACAACTGGGTATTAGGGTCAGGAATCAGATTTAGGGTTTTCATCAAGAAATGACATCAGCTATAATACCAAAATGCTATTTAGCCATATGAATGAATAAATTTCGCGCTGAAACCGTAGACCGGGTATTTTAAATCTGATTGGTTCGTTCAGTGCTTCCAGGTTTCAATGGTGGTCTAACATTGATCGGTTAATGATCTCAATCAAAAAAATTATTTATTTATTTTAATACATAAACATCGGTACAAGAGGGCACCAAATACATATGCGCCATACCAATAACAATGAGAATGTAAAGAGATAGAGGATGTAAATTGTGTATAAAAAATTAGTGTATAAGAGTGAAGTAATAATAATGGGAGAAACAGTTAAGTTAGCAAAGATATAACCAGAAAGAATTCTTTTAGTTAGAAAGATGTTACGTTCACTTTTATGAAGAAAGTTACAGCAGGATCACTACTGGATTCTATTCTGAGTCATGTTTGATAACGTCTCAAACCACTGTGTTGCATCATCTCTAGGACCTCAACCAGGGAGTCGTGAAGAACTAACAGAAACCAGTTCTGTACAGCTTTCTTTCTTAGCATGACACTTCGTCATACCACCGAAGTCGATATTTTAATTTAGTGACACTAATTGAATTATCGTTGCTGTACCAGAACATACGATGTTGAACCTCTGCTTTAATATCATGTCGCCCCCAAATGCCCTGGTACGGCTGAGAGTGGGGAGAGTCCGCTCTCCCTCTTAAAATGCTCTCATATGGCCATGCGTATATAGCCTCTGCTAGTAAAGTCCTACTCACTGCATTCTCGCACTACGAGTGTTGTTTACGAAAATGAGAGGACGAAAAGCGAATGTTCGACGCTTTAACCGGATCCCAAACCAATGGTGCACATGGGCTGGCTCCAGTATCCTAAAGGAACAAATGGCGTATGAACCAATCGTTGGTCACCGGCTACCATGGGACTGCATCTCCTCACGATGCTCCACTGCCTTGTGGGTCAGATCTTCAGGTCGAAGGCTCGGGGTGTGGCCCCCTAAGACAACCACCTGCTTCGGTTTGGCACCTGGTCAGTATCACAGCCCTCACACAGATCAATTGAGATTCGTGTGGCGCATGTATATTTGTTGCCTCCTTGTACCAATACCTATGTGTTAAAATAAATAATAATAAATAAGTTGCGACTGGATGTCAGCAATCCTTCCGTGCCAACGATGATGAAACACAGAGAGTTGTCTAAAATCATCAACTCGGCGAGGCCAAGTTTCACAAGCATAGAGCAGAATTGCTCTCATCGACGCGTTATAGATCCAACCTTTTACAACGAGACTGACATCACGAAGGTTCCAAAGATGGCCCAGATTGACATAAACCTCTCTCACTTTCACTTTACATGAATTGATTTCATCACCTTCGTCACTATCAACGCTTATACAGCTACTTAGATACACGAACTTTTTAACCACTTCTATCTGCTCACTACCCAGGACAAGTGGAGGTTGACAAAAAACAAAGATTAAATGTTAACAGTCTTGTATGTTTTTCTATTCTTAATTCACTATTTATATGATTAGGAACAAACTGAATTTAAAAGGAAAAAGAGAATATATTTATTGATACACACGACTTTTGAATAATAAGGAACGTCTTATCGAATAAAGTAGTAAATAAACAATAGAAATTATGTAACAAATTTATTCACACGTATCGTGAGTATATAAGAAGGGGATATTGATTAGTGTACTATGAATTTTCTTTTCTTATAACAGTTTGTCTTTTTCATTGGGAATATGTTCAATATTTCTACACTATTGTTACATTGATCATCAATCAGTCAGAAACAACGTAGAACTTCGTACGTACATCAGTTCGAGTTGTCATACCACATTATCACAGAGATGTAGTTGTCGATTCAAATCCCGTAGTCGTAGAGGTAGTAAGAGTATAGGCAGTAATCGGAAACACTAGGGTTTGAAGATGTTATTCAAAGAGTATAATTCAGTGAAATAAATTATGAAAGAGAAAAGAAAGAAAGGGATATGAAGAATTCAGAAGATTAGAATTCAGGAGAACACAAAGAGTGAATGCACCTGCGCACACCATTGCAAACGATTTTGAGCCGTCATTCAAGGTGTCTAACCATCGGTTGTTATCATCTTACCGATTCCACCCAGGTGGTCTTCACTTACTAACATGACTCAGTTCACTTGTCAGTGACTTTATCGATTTGTGCCATGTTTTGGTTTGGCCACCCCTAGTTTTCTTCCAACCTACTCGTTTACCATAAAACATCTTACGTCGGGGCAGCCGGCGGTTAGGTATACGTAACACGTGTCCCAGCCGTCTCAACTGATCAAGTTTCACTTCTCCGTCAACAGATTGTCATCGTTACCTAGTACTCGTTTCCTTACAATTGTATTACTTACTCGGTGGTCCTGTGATATACGAGTAATGCTTCGAAGACATCTATGATCGAATACTGGTAACCTACTAATATCCTCTACTCTTACCGGCCATGTTTCTCTGCCATAAAGTAGGACGGAACGAACTGCTGCTCAGTAAACCCGTCCTTTGGTTGGTAGACGGATGTCTTGCCTATGCCGTAAATGATGTAAATTGGCAAAAGCTAGTCGAGACCTATGTATGCGTGCTGAGATTTCGTCAGACACCAGACTACAATAGCTGATGTGACTCTCAATATAAGTGAAGCGGTCGACACGCTCAACTACTTTACTCCCTATCATTAGTTCGGGTGTCGATGCCACCCAATCCTGAAGTAACATTTTGCATTTCGAGGGGAAGAATTACATCTCGAACATGCTTGTATTGTTGCTTATAGTGATCAGTAGAATCTGCATCGACTATAATTAGTGGTTTAAAATAATTTATAATATAAGATATAAATCGGTTCCAGGTTTTTGTTAATGAGTGTCTTCCATGCATTGCTTGCATCATGAGGAACTAAAGAATGAGAAACGTTGAGATTAGGTATTTTGTACCAAACAAGTGTGACATCGGTTGTTGAGGTTATAAATCTTTATGGACTGAAGTGTTGAGAGTATGTGTTATGTATGTCTAACCACCACGTAATCTCTTGACGTGGAATATTTACTGATGTAAGAGTAGGCTAAAAGATAGCTAAAGTAAGACACAATATCAATCTATCAAGTCATTAACTGTTGGTCTGTGCCATGTTGGTAGATCCAGACTAGGATAACTACTATCAGTCTTTGAAGATATTCGATGATATGATTTAGAATTGTTCACAATAGCTCAATCGCTTTCATTCTATATCTTCTTCTAGATCGTATTTTCCAGTACTCCTTCATATATACCTTTCCAATCTGTTCTTTCAAACAATATTCCATATGTTCAATTTGTTCTTGTTATCATTGGCACTACATTATTGAAATCTCTTATTACTTTTTTTACGGTAATTTTATTTCCATCTCATTGTGGCAATGTAATATATATATATATATATATATATATATATATATATATATATATATATATATATAAAGACGGAGTTACATCTGTCTCAAACTGTCCATCGATAATAACCAACTGTTTACTTTCATACATTTTCGCTACCACTTTTTTTTTCTCTGTTATATTTTAGAATTCCAAAAATCCTTCTCAATCAACTGATCCATATACATTGAAATTATTATTATCATTATTACCTTCAATACCATCTACATCATCTGTATCATCATTATCATCATTATGTTCAAAGAATGTAAATGGTATTGATGATAATAAACCTAAAAAACTTACATCATTATCATCATTTCATAAACATTTAAATAAAAAATTACATCGTTCATTGTCTAGTTCTTCTTCATTTAAAACAACCACAACAACAATCCATGGTAAACATCATTCATATCATAATCATAGTAACAATAATGATGATAGTAATAATAATGATATATCTCATGTATTTCATTCATTACCTCATCGATATCATTCATCTAATATTGAAACAGATAAACAAATCATCAATAATTATCATTATAAATCTCTTTCAACTACTGCTTTATTAGCTGAAACTGATGTACGTCAATTAATCAATTCAAAAGTTACTAATATTATTAAACGTAAAGCTTCTACTGTTAGTCAACATTAAAATAATAGATATATATTACACAAGTAAAATAATCATTATGATCATTCATGATCATGATTATTGATTTTCCTTTTCTAGAAAATATATAGATCATATTCTCGTACATATTTATTTCATTTGTTTTTATAGTTAATCGTTTCTTTTTTTTTTCTTCATTTGATCATAGTAATACCATTCATTGAATATGTTTCATTCCCCACCCTACCCTACCCTACCCTCCCTCCCTCCCTTTCTCTATCTCTTTTCATTCTATCTATGTTCGATGAATTGTCTACATTTAACTCTTGTCACGATTTAATCTTATCCGGATAGATTGATTATTATTGTTTTCTTCTATTTCTGAACTTGTTATAAACTTTGTCTAATTTTTCTTTATTTGTTTTCTTCTTTTTTTTTTTAAAAAAAAAATTTCCTCTCGATGTTGATACGCATGTTATATCAATAATTCATTGTATGAAAAGAGAGTTCTATTTCCTGTTATGTTATTACGTAACAGTTACTATTATTATCATTAATGTTATTATTAAAACTGATAAAACGAATTGTAATAAGGTGAATAAATACATTCTTTCTATTGAGTAATTCTTTTCATTGCTACCATAATTCGTACGAATGGGCATTGTGTGGATGTATGTATGTCTGTATGGAGCAGTGGAAATGTAGTAAGGCAAAATGAAAATCTTATGATTATGTCTCTATTACTTATTGGCTTTTACTAACTTATATCACCTATGACAAAAGCGAGATATTCGTCTTTCAATTAAGGGACAAGTATACTGCGCGACAGTTCTTTCTGTTCTACTTTACGGCTACGAGATGTGGCCTTTAAGAGTAGAAGGTACTCGTAAGCTACTAATATATAACCACAGATGTCTTAAAAATATTGCTCGCATCTGTTGAGATCACTGGGTAAGTAATAGTAAGGTTAGACGTACGGTATTAGGGAATGATGATAGTAAATCAGTTGATGAGGTTATGAATCTCCATCGACTGAGATGGTTGGGCCCACGTGTTACAAATGCCTGAACACCGATTACCACGATGCGCAATGCTGACTAGTGTTGAGGATGGTTGGGAGAAAGTTAGGGGTGGCCAAACCAAAACGTGGCATCAGTGCTTGAAGTCACTTACTCCTGGTGTGAGCAATGTTTGTAGATGCAGACTACTTGGTTGGGGTCCGTGTGACTATCGTAATCAATGGTTGGAGACTGTGTGTGACATGGTTCAGAATCAATCACAATGGCGTAGGTGTATACACTCTCTATCTTCCTTTAAACTATGAGATTAAAATTTTTTCATATCTTTCTTTCTGTACTATATCCCTACATAAAATCTTTCTTGTACATATTACACCATTGAGTTAACTACTTCTATGAATCCGATGCTCATCTTACTGTACTAATGAGGTATGGCAAATTGGACCGATGCATATATGTGCCTGGTCCTACTTTGTAACTGACGTTCTGATATCATCTTTTTGTATACTGTTGAAAATTTAAGATTCTAAGCTATTTTATCTAATATATCTAATCATTGGTTATAATTATGATCACATTTGATCTTAAATGTGTTGTAGTATTCACTTACTTACATGACTCAGTTCCGTGATCAATGACTTCACATTTTATAAGCAAAGATGGATAGTGGATAGCAGTGGAATCCAGTTTGATGGGCGTTTCATCCTATTTGGGACCTGTCAGCTGGATGTATCTGCATCTCAGTTGATGTTCACTCTGGGACTCGAACCCAGTACGCGCTTCCTGGATTTCACTACTAACTACTATCCATCTTTCCTTAAAAAGCTTGTGACTTAAGGCTATATTGAGGTAATCCTCACAGGATGCGCATATACCAACAACAGACTGATCAATTACAGTCCTAAATAACAAATGGAAGATACAACTAAAACAATACAAAGTGAATGTAACTTCACCCCATTGCACGAGCAGGAGTCAATCAGGACTCAGTAGCTAAGTGGGTAACGCGATGGTGTTTGAAGCGTGAGACGGTTAAAATTCACCATCTAATTAACCGAATAATAATACTACTCAAGTTAAGTTGTAGTAAACGAGAACACGAGTGAGGACAATCGAATGTGTTTGACACGAAATTACAGAACATCTCACTAAAATCTGAGAACCATACAGTAAACTTAATTTACACAATATCAATCAATTGTCTCAAACTTGACTGTTCCTTATGCAAATATCAGTCCATCGTCTCAGATTTCATTATTCGTGCATTTTCATACCGATTGCTTTTTCGTTTCCGTTCTTTCCTTTTTGATTTTCTACTGAAATACATTCCATTTTTGACTATTGTCATATACTACTTATGTGTATATAAGCAGCACACACCACACTCGTTCCCCCGTTGTCATCATTAGACAGTAATTGAATTATCCCGTTGTTGGTGGTTTTGATTAAATTTTTTCAATCAGTTAGCAAATATATTTAGCTGATGAGTCTCAAATGGTATGAAACTCGCGTTCTAGAATCCACTGCTAGTCACAAATCCAACTAATTTATGAAAAATAGTAATTAATTTAGTTTCTATGTATCCATTGAGCGAGTAGTCATGCACATAGAGTAAACTGAGGTGAATTTCTACTTATTAGTAATCGTAACAGAAATAAACTAAACATTAATAATCAGAGGGTGGTTTTGTGAAGATTGTAGTCATTTAATAGTTGAATTCATGAGCCGACTAAAGCTAGAAGGCTGTTTCGTCCTATTGTGGGACTCCTCAAAAATGTTCATCCACGATCCCGCCTCGCAAGATCCAAACCCAGGATCTATCGTTCAGTGCTTCCAGGTATTCCATGGCGGTCTAGCTTCAATTGACTCATGATATTCAACTATTAAATATTATAGATGAAATTCTAATGGTTTGGTGAATAAAATTGTGTGTGTATTAGGTAAGATTATTTAGCTACTATTTGCTTTGAACCAGATAAATAAAATGATGAATGAACTTGTATTAAATTCTTATCTAGAATTTACATTTCTCAATGAATCTAGAGTGAATTCATAGGTTTTAACGTTGAATATCAGGGTTCATTCATGAACGAGTGAAAACCCGATTATTCAGATGTGATGTGATATGATTTTGATAACTTAATACGCATTAAGATATGAAATTCATCACAGATTGAACTCATTTTACAAACAGTTGTTGAATATAATACTTGTAATGAAACCATTTCTATTACATGGTTCCAAATCTATTCTGACCAAACACACTTCGATTTTCTACTTATTATATTGTCATCACCATCAAAAATGATTTAAGACTCATCACTTTACTCACTGCAATGCTATAACATCGGCAAGGGGAACTAATGAGGATATGATAATGGCCAGTGGGTTCTTGTCATAACTTGTGGCTCGTGTGCCATGTTAATGTATGACGTAATGATACCGCCAGTTAGAGAGAAGTGAATTATCTATCGGACCAATCACTCATAAAAACCCATACGAACAGTCTAAAGTCCTTATCGGTCCTGCTTCCTGCCTAGCCCAGCCTGTTGAGTCCAGAACACCGATTTCATCTTCTGCGATATGAATCATGTATTTCAAACATATTGGGTTTATATACCAACCGAACGGACCACATCGTACCATATAATAGGAAACAAGATTTAGCCAGCTGTGGATGTGGCAGGTAGTAATTGATAGACAATGCATAATTCAAGAATGGTAAATCGTATAATAATAGTCTTTAAGTCAAAATAAAGCTCATAATAAGAGGGACATGGATATGAATAGTTTATTTATTTAACAATTATACGATAAAAATATACGTTTAGTATTGGTCCATAAATGGATCCCAAAAATTACTATTCAATATTCTATAAGTGGGGTACACCACGACGAGTAGTTCCGACTATTAATCAACTTACACCTTTTGTATAGTACTGGAACTCAAAAATACATTTTGTGTATTCGGAATACGAATACGGTGATTGGATGTTTATCATTGACTGTAACTGACCTTGTGTTATAGATAAAAGCACCTGCGATTGTAACTATCGAACGCTTGTGACATGCTGGTATTTTTGGTGTCATATGTTCTGATATACATAAAATGATGAACTCTTACAGTTAAGCTTAATCAATTACGAAGTATAAACCTCATAGTTAACTTTCACCAATCCCTCACTGGATCCGAAATGCTACAGATTATTCACTTGTAGTATGTATATAGTTGTTTTTGATGGAGTTTTAATCTCTGAGCTGAATGACTTGGTCGTGGATTTTTCGTCGATCTTCTGAACTACATCATCATTTGCACGAACTTCAGGTAGAAGTCGTTGTTGTTATTTTTTAAAATTTCTTTCTAAATAATTCATTAGATGAATAAACTTTGAAATGGTCTGTTATAAGCACAGTTATTGTCAACTTGTAAATGTTTTGTTCACATAATTTTCCATATCCACAATTAGTTGACAGAGACCATATGTTGCATATCAGAAAACATATGAATAGCTTACCAGTTTAATCAATGCAATTCTAAAGAAAAAAACAAAACAAAACAAGAAAAACAACAACAATCTAATCATAAGACAAACCGTTTAACTTCGTTATGAGTATCAAATTTAATACTTAAATAGAATAGTAACTAACAGAATGTTTTATTTGTTGTAAACAATACCCTTTATTCTTCAACCTTCCTAAAATTTTACCTAGATGTTTAGTATTTACAAAAGAATTACAAGTGTCGAATAGATCGAATCAACAACTTGGAGTAGTGTGATGTGTGATGTGTACTACTTATGTAGACATAAATAGTATGTAATGTTAGTTGTGAGCAGAATGTCTGGCAGCAGAGAGATAAAAAGATCCAACAGTAAAGAATGAAAATAGAATGCAATTTGTATGAAAATGCAAGAACAAGGGAAGTCTCAGTCATTTAAGACAATTAATGGACATTTTGCAAATTGAGCATTTGCTATATGGTTGTTAAATTTTACTAACTAGTTCTGTAATTTATTGTCAAAT